GGGACTGGATTTTGAGGGTGCTTGATCAAGGGGGCAGAGATGTAGCACTGAAAAAGGAAGAAAAGGGACACCTTCTTACTTAATGGGATTTAGCACCCTGGCAAGGACCCAGAGGGTGGGGCAAACGAAGGTGGCTCTTAGGATCCTAGAGAAAGTGATAGCCAATATTGAGCAAAATGGAAACCCCTATGCTGCTTTGGTAGCCTATAAAGGAAGAAATAAAGAGCTGAAGGAAGTTGGCCTGCTGGATGGCTGTATTATATTAGGCCAGAAGACGACCCAATTATGTTCCATGGGAAAGCCTAGAAGACACACCATTCACCGAGGTCAACAGGAATGTGCTCATGGGAGAGCACATTCACCCCAAATTTCAGTGCTGGTTCTCTGCAGGCCAGAGCTGGGCCCACTAAAGTCCACGGTGATCATGCCTTTACCCACAAACATTTTACCACTAATGGAGGGCAGGTGATGGTGCTTCACCATTAGAAGCCAGGAGTCCATAATGATCAGCAAGGTTGAGGGACACCCAAGCAGCCTTACTCTGCAGGGAGTTGTGAAAACAGTTTAAGTATGGTGTCCCTGAAGCAAAACAAATGGGCATCTAAGAGGGTACTCCTTGACATCTATAACTAGAATAAGGCAAGACTGGAGGAGCAAAGGGCCAAGTGTAGTCACAATAAAAAGCACAAGCTTTTGCTGTTTTACCAGACCTGAGCCAATTTTCACATCTGGAACCACTGACTGAAGAACCACTGGCTGGGTCCCTAGGAGGAAGGACCTTGCAAAACCACAGCAAGAATAGGCAACAATGGTTCCTCGAAAAGGACCTATGGCCATTTACTCAAGTAACTATGACTGGGAAAATGGGAATACCCAAATATTGCAAGGACTATGGGATCCCAGGTGTGATTTCCAAAGACCTGAAGAATCATCATAACCCTGGTAGAATGTCAGCTCATGGGGACCATTTAATAAATGGAGATCTATCTAAAGTCTAACTTACAGTAGGTCCACTGGTTCCATGGACTTACCCAGTTGTCATTTCCTCAGTTCCCAAGTGCATAATTGGGAATAATATAGTTGGAGCAACCACCATATTGGATCCTTGACCTGTAGGATAAAAACTCTGATAATGAGGGAAAAAAGCAAGTAAAAAACTTCTTGAATCCTACCTCATCCCCACAATCAAGATAGTAAATCAAAAACAGTATTTCATTGGGGGTGGGTAGGATAGAGAAGGTTAGTGCCACCATTAAGAACCTAAAAGATGACAGAGGGGAACAGATGTGATCTCTTTCATATTTCTGCTTAATTTACTAGTCTGACATCTGCACAAACCAGATGGATTCCGGAGAACCAATGTCATGTCCATGCAAGCAGTCGAAAGCAGTGGCCCCGATTACAACTGCCATGCTGGACATAGTATTGCTGCTAAAGCAGGCATGTTGCTAGGCCTCAGGTACATGATATGCAGTTATTGATCTGGAAAATGCTCTTCTATTCCGATTAAAAAAGAGGATCCACAACAGTTCACATTCTCATGGAATGAGTAACAGTCATTTAATTTTGCCCTCGGGCTGTTAACTCTCCTGCACTCTCATACTCCGAAGATCTCTGAACTGACTAAACATCCTATAGAACGTTACATTTACTCATTCCATTGACGACATCCTGCTGACTGGACAGGACAAGCAGGAGGTGGCTAGTACACTGGAAGCCTTGGTAAGACACATGCAGTCAAGAGGGTGAGAAGTTAATCCTATGAAATTTCAGCAGGCTGCCACATCAGTGACTTCTTAGAGGCCCAGCGATCAGGGGCATGCCATGCTTTATCGCTTCCAAAATATTGCACGGGAAGGAAGCGCTGTGCCTGGTAAGCCCCTTTGAGTTGTGCGTATCCCACATCTAGGAGTATTTATGCTCATAAGTTGGGTAATATGGGAGGCTACCAGCTTCGCGTGGGGCCCAGAGCAGGAAATAGTGCTGCAGCAGGTCTAGGCTGTGGTACAAGCAGCCCTGAAACTTGGGCCACAAGACCCAGTTAGACCTCTGGTGTAGGAAGCATCATTGGTGGGAAAAGATGCAGTGTGGAGTTTAGGGCAAGCCCCAGTGGGAGACTCACAACACAAGTCTCTAGGATTCTAGAGCAAAGCCATGCCATCAGCAGCCAATTAAACCTTTCAAGAAATAGCTCCTAAAACGTAGCTGAGTTCTGGTAGACTCAGCATGCTTGACCATGAGCACCAAGTAGCCAACTGTCCAGAACTGCCCATTATAAGTTTAGTCAGACCCACCAAGACAAAAAGTTGTATGAACTTAGCAGCAGTCTGTCAGAAGACAAAAGTGGCACATGTGATTGAGCCCAGGCAGGACCAAAGGGTCCAAGAATGAGCAGGTAGCACAGACCTATGTGTCACCAATCACAGCTGCATGAGTGCCATTCTTCCCACCATGTACCTACAGCTGTACAGGAGGTGGGGCACAACCAGCTGAAAAAGGATAATGCTGAAGATTAGTTTAGCAATGGGTTGGCCTGGCTCAAATTATGGGTGTGAGACACAAATGGACCGTGGCTGCATTATAGACATATAAGGGGTGGGCCTTGAAAAACAGTAGTGAGGGAAAATCTTCCCAATAGGTAGATCTTCCCAACAGGTAGAGCAAGGTACCTGGTCATCATTTTACAAAGAAATGGCCTTAGGTGAGATTCCTGGGCAGTGGTGCATGGCTAGCTCTCCTGGAAGGATATGGGCTAGAAGATCAGAGACAAGGTTTGGGGTACAGATCAGTGGATGGGCATGAAGAAGTGGGCAGAAAGATTAAATATTTTTATATAGCATGTTAAAGTCCACCAGAAAGCATCTACCACAGAAGAGGCACTGAACAACCAAGCAGATAAAATGATTTCATCAATTGACACTGGCCAGCCGGGAAGAGACACAGTGAGCACATGTATATAATGGCTTGTGGCAAAGTAGAGGCTGTGAATGGCCCAACAGATGAAGTCCCAATTACCAAAGATGATGTGGCTATTGTGTTTGACTGTCCAACCTGTCAGCAACAGAGACTAATGCTATGCACCCAACATGGCACTAGTTCTTTAAGAGAACAGGAAGCCACTCAGTATCACCTTGAGTACACTGGATCCTTTGGATCCTAGGAAGGCCAGTAATTCATCTTCACAGGGATACCTATTCTGATATCCTCGGATACCAGGACTACAAAGCCTCAGCCAGCACCACTATTTGGGCATTAGCAGAATGCCTAATTCACAGGCATGAATCCCACTCAACAGTTTTCATCCAGAGAACCTACTTCAGCAAAGGAGGCGAGAATGGGCCCAACCGTAGGATCCACTGATCCACATAAATGCAATCCATACATATGCAGTCCCACAGATCACTGGAATGGCCACTAAAGACAGTGTAAGTACCAACTCAGAAGCAAGATGCTGCAAGGATGAGGTACCATCCTTCAGGCTGCAGTATATGCAATGAATTGCAAGAAGAGAGGAGCAGCTTCAACTACCATCACTTCCAGTGACCCACTGGAGGACTTTGCTTTCCATTCATAAACCTCTGGGCTAAGCAGGGTTAGAAGTGTTGGTTACCAAAGAGGGCATACTAGTAGGGTACACAGAAAAAGTCCTACTGAACTACATGCCATGACTGTCACCAAGGTTCTTTGGACTTATGTCCAGGGACCAGCAGGCTGGAAGAGCAGTCACCCTCCTGGCAGGGTTTACTGACTTATCACAGGAGTGGACGGATGGGAGAAATACGTGCAGAATACAAGCCACCCATTTGGTGCCTATTTGCATTCCCTTGCTCCACTGCAACTGTAAATGGATATGTATAGCAACCCCAGCCCGATAAGGATATGATCATCAAAGGTTTGGACCCTTTAAGAATAAAGGTTCAGGTCACAGCACTAGGTAAACCACCAAAACCTGCTAAAATGATAGCTGCGGATGAGGAACTTTCAAAATGGATGATGGAAGACAGAGAGGACAAATACTAGTTGTGGCCCTTCAGTGACAGGGGGTACTGATGATCTAATTCAACTCCTTAAGAGAGGTACACAGAAATCATGGAGTTGCTCTCTGATCCTGCAAGAAGTGGATCTGTGCGGCGCAAGAGGTGCAGCTACAGAAAGCTCTGTTCAGAATTCCTTCAAGAGAACTGGCTGCAGGAAGCACAGCTGAGTCCCAGCTCAGGGGTCCTAGCCACCACACCTCTGGACTCACTGCCACCTTTGCTGCAACGCCAGGCTTCCCCAGGGCTGTTGTCTGCCACTGACTGAACACAGGCAGGCTCAAGGACACCCCATCTGCCTGGCCCAGCCTTTTTAGAACCCCACTGCAGTCTGAGGCTCTTCCAACCCAGTCTGCCTTCCTTCCCACCCTCCTGCCACAGGAGTCAAGCCTAGAGTCCAGACGGAGGGCTCTCTCTCCCTCCTCCTGCTCCCTCCTCTTTATCCTTCAAAGACAGTTCCCTCCAGTAAATCTCTTACAATACATCTAATCTGTAGGCACCTGCTTCTTGATGGAATCAAAATGACCCAGAAGCTCATGTTTATGGATCAGTGTTTGCATATTTTCTTTGAAACTGCACCCAAACTAGTAACAGTATAGATGCACAAGAGAACTTGGGTCACCTTGTCAATCAAGTAACTTGAAGCCTACAATAGATCATAAGGATTAAAGGGTAGATGGTTGATCTTTCCTCAGCCTTGAGAAAAATATGATGAAGTATTTAAGATACCAAGAAAGCATAAAAAAATAACACAATGAACACACAGTTTAGGAAGTAAACCTTATCAAAAGAGTTGAAATCTCCCGTGTATCCCACCCTGAGTGTGTCCTCCTCCTGCTCTCTAGATTTTGATCTTTATCATCCCTGTGCATTTTTAATACTTTTTACTACAAATGTATATATTCCTTTTTTTGTATATATAGCTGATGATTAAAAAAAAAAACCAAAACCAAAACCCACCTTATGTCCTATTTATGATTTAGTGAGATTAAAGAGAATTTATTTAGCAGAATGGGATTGAAGTCACAAGGCTGAAAAAAAAGGGTGTTTTATTATCTTGACCATAAGTTATAATTATTACTCTTTATAAAGTCATATAAATGTAGGTTGGTCATCTTTAAAGTCTCAAAAAGCCAAATATAAAGCACAGAAAGTAAATTCAATTGAAAAAGCTGACATAATTCTTCTACATGTTTTATGGAATCCTAGGAAGAATCACTGCAATAATTATCCAAAGTAATATTAAAGGTAACAAAAGAGAGGTTTGGTCTTAAATGTAAATTCAAATGTAGAGCGTCTAAAATAACAGATCAAAGCCCAAGTATACCTGCAATTTCTAACAGCAAAAATAAGTTGGTTTGTAAATACTGTATCCTCCAATGATGCAAGGAAGAAGATCAAGAATAAGATGTTGGATAGTCTTATCAACCAGGCCACAGTGTTCAGGACAGTGAAAATGCGCAACGATCACGGTCTTTGCACACAATTAGACTTGTCACACTAGAGGTGTCCTTTTCCTTGTAGAGTTCACAAACCAAAACAGAACAAATAATTATACACCGACATCAGCAGGAACACCAAATCTTATTTCACAACAGCCACTATGTGCTTCTTCTTCTCTGACACCATCTGGACAGACCCAGGCTTGCTATGTTTGATACGATTCAGTTCCCTAGAAATAAAACAAAATATACAAAATATAAGCAAGTTTATGAGAAATCATCTTAACCAAAGAAAACTTTCTCAGAAAAGTCACAAACCATTTTTTTCCACTGGAAAACCACCTACTAAAAAAACTTTTCACTATGAGGTTAGGTAAAAAGTAGCTAGAAATCAACTTTTGTTAACTTTTTAAACTGCTTATTTACATATCAGTATTCTTTACTAGGTTTAAAAACCTGCTGTAGATATTAAAATATTTAAAAGTGGCTCAACTCCAACATCTACCCAAACACAACAAAGTAATAATAATTTGTATAGTCTAACTAAAAACAAAACAAAACAAAAAAAAACAACTCTTAGAATTTCTATAATACTTTACATAAATTTAAGGACTGCAAAGAGAATATTCCACAGGGGAAACGGAGGTGGTTATAGAAAGCTCTGCCCCAGTGCCAAAATGGTAGATTCCAAATGTTATGATAAAGCATATGAGGTGTTCTTTGCAGTTTTTAACTTGGAAAAAAGATAATACCTCTTAATTCCAGCTACATTAGAACTCATTAAAAAAATATTACCCACTTAATGTTTATCAGTATGAGCAGAAACATTTTCTTATTTAATGTAAGTTATTTTCATTGTTTACTCTTTTAACATATTCTCAAATACAGGTAATGAAAATTCTCACCATGTGAGATGACCATCGCTCCCCTTTTATCAGGAAAAAGACAAAAGCCCAGAGAAGTATTCAAAAACACCTCCAATGTACAACATAAACTATTCCCTTGAAAGGCAGGTTTTCTGTTTGTTTTCGGTGAGAGACCAAGGGAAAGTTAGAAAAAGGTACTGAGAGAGTCAAATGCTCCAAAACGTACTTTCGTCGTCGAGCTTCTTTCATGATGCGCTGTTCCTGAATCTGGCTGTAGATAGATTTTGGTAGATGTCGGTGACGAGAGATACGTTTTATATGAGGATGATGCTGAAATTTCTCCTTTAACTTCTGGTTATAATCTGTGGCTGCTTTTTCTCGTGATGTAAGCTGAAAATGCATTTTGATATTTTAATGAACAGGACAGCAAAGTTAGGAAGCAAAGTTTTCCCCCTCAATACTAAACTTTTATGACATGCAACCAAAATTGCTAGCATAACTATACCCTTCACAAGGTTATGTTAGTGATACCAGGTCTGTGAGCACTGAATTTCCTTTTAGGTTGCATGGCTACAACGTGGATGGGAGCCACCAAGTGAAAAAGAACAGTGCTGAGGGTTGAGCTGTGGTAGACCACTGAGTGTGGACCTTCCCTAGGCATAAATAATATAGAGAAAAAGCACCTAAATGAATCACTCAAAAATTTTTTTCCCTGTAAAAATAACTACTGAAACAAAAAGAAAAAGTGTTTGATGCCGTAATAAACAGTCTTTGTTTAATAATTGTTAAGGATGGTCTGATTTAGAGGAACATTTAATGATGAACTGAAACCTAGGCACAGTGCAATACTTACTGATTATTAAACCTAAAATAAAGTTATCTGTAATTACCGCTTATCATACCTTGACTTTTCTACTAGGGCTAAATAGAATACAACCCACACTTAACTCTTCCTTCTTAAACTTAAAATTGTTTCAAATATAAACACCATGTTTCTTATCAGAATCATGAGACATTCAGAAAAACATTAAGAACAAAAAAAATTATCCATAATTCACAACCCAGAGGTAGCTAGCCAATTAATATCTGTTATATTTTCATTGAAACTTTTTTAGTCTGAAGCTATGTATTCTTTTTAAAGTTAAGTGTTTCACTGTGCCTTTGATATTAAAATACCTCACAGGGACTTGCAGCCTTTGATTTGCCTGATTACTATTCCTTTAACAGAAGAAGCAGGTGTTCTAAGGTCTAAGCTTCTAATCCCTACATCTTCTCTCCCTACCTAAAGAAAAACACAAAGAAACAAGAAAGCTCGAATATGATCAAACATCTGAATTAACAAAGGCCTCTGAAGGTGCCTTTGAAATGAAAAAAGTAAATTTCAATACAATCTTGTCTGTTTTGTTGCTAGCTTTTTTTTAATCACAACTAAAGCACTTCAAGTAAATTCTCTTTAAATATGATACTGAATAAAATTAGAAACTAGCTTTATGACAATGAAAGAAAATGGGGTCCCTTACCACACCCAATTTTTCTGAAGCATTAGCTTTCCACAGACGAATGTTCATTTCATCAGATCCACACATGATGTACTTGCTGTCAGAAGTCCATTTTACACAAATAACATGTTGCATTCTCTTTGTGTGATAGACTTCCCTATAGAAGAGGGGTTAAGTTAAAATTCTTAGGATTTTGGTATCAATTTTCTTTAACCACGGCCTATCAAGTATCAGGATAACATTTCTGAGTCCTAAGAGACCAAAGAGAAATTAAAACTCATTTAAATGTATTTTTCTGAACCAAACTAACAAGATTCTATGCTAAGTGCTGGGGAATTAAAAAAAATTCCTGCCCTCAGAGAAGTTATAATCCAATAAGAAAAATAAGTATAAACAAACTAAGCAAAACTAGATGTCCAGAAAAGTTCACAAAATAACCGAGGGTATATAATACAAGTAAGATTATACTGAAGCTGGAGTAATTTTATAATAATAAGAAAGGTTGCTTTTAATAAGTCTCTCCCCCCACCACTCCCAAATCAATTCAGGTCAACCACACTTTTTTTTTTTTTTAAGTTTCATTTTACTGGAAAATAAATGCAATGGCATTCAAAGAGTACATCCTTACATATTGATCCTAATGTCTGATTTCTGTTTTGGTCAAATTAAAAAGCTTAACTGAAGTGAGAGTTGATGATTTACATATGCGAAAAGAAAGGGAGGGCTACAGAAGTGTCTGATGAGTTGAGGTAAGAATCATTTAAAAAATGGGGATGTCAAATCTCACCTATTTGGAAAGGCTGTGAAACATGCTAAGTGAATTCACAGAAGATACTATATTAGGAAGTGTTAAGCAGAGCAATAAAAAGTAAGTAAAAGACAAGGTCAGAAAAAATAAAAAGATGGCATTTCTAGAGAAGTAAAATTTCCATATCTGGATTAAATGATTCAAAATGCAGACTACTTGAGAGAATGGAAACATGCTCAGTAAACTCTGCACAGTAAAAGAAAACCCATACATGATGATGAAATCAAATAATTCCTATCTATAAAAATATCTCAGAAGTACACTCACTAGTCTGTTACTTCCTTTCTAACAGATACATTTTGAGCTCTTGAATGAACATATAGATAAACCAAAATAAACATTTCTAAAACAGGGAGGATGGTTAGAAAGAACATCCTGTTAAAAAGAAAAGCAGATGAGACAGACTGCGTTTTCTTCGCTCAGTGCTCTGCTTTTTATAAGACTCAATTCTTATAATCTCTACCTATTTAAGATGACTTTTTTTTTTACACAGAAGTGAACTGAATTTAAATATTAGGTAATTTTTTGGTTTGGCTTTCTTTTTTAAATTGAAGTACAGTCAGTTACAATGTGTCAATTTCTGGTGTACAGCTCAATGTCCCAGTCATGCATATACATTCATTTTCATATTCTTTTTCATTAAAGGTTATTACAAGATATTGAACACAGTTCCTTGTGCTACACAAAAGAAACTTTTTTAAAATCTATTTTTATATATAGTGGCTAACATTAGTAAATCTCAAACTCAAATTTATCCCTTCCTACCTCCTTTCCCTGGTAACCAAAAGATAGTTTACTATGTCTGTCAGTCTTATTCTGTTCTGTAGATGAGTTCATAGTGTCTTTGTTTTTTTTTTCTTCTTCCTCTTTCTGGCTTACTTCACTTAGAATGACAATATCTAGGTCCATCCATGTTGTGGTGAATGGCATTTACTCTTTTTTATGGCTGAGTAGTATTCCACAGTATAAATATACCACAACTTCTTTATCCAGTCATCTGTAGATGGACATTTAGGTTGCTTCCATGTCTTGACTATCGTATATAGTGCTGCTGTGAACACTGGGGTGTGTGTATCTTTTTGAATCAGAGTTCCCTCTGGATATACCCAGAAGTGGGAATGCTAGATCATATGCTAAGTCTATTTTTAGTTTTTTGAAGAATCTCCATACTGTTTTCCATAACGACCGCACTGCACTATATTCCCACCAGCAGTGCAGGAGGGTTCCCTTTCCTTCACACCCTCTCCAGCATTTATCGTTTGTGGACTTTTGAATGATGGCCATTCTGACTGGTGTGAGATGATACCTCATTATAGTTTTGATTTGCATGTCTCTGATAATTAGTGATACTGATCATTTTTTCATGTGCCTATTGGCCATTTGTACTTAATTAGGCTTTGGTAACCATTAAAAATAACCTATTCATGTATTAGACCAGACAAATCCAATGGTTAGTCATTTAATCAACTTAGAATCTCCTTAATGGTAAACTACACAGAGTTCTTAACTTCTAGATATGTGTATGCTTGCACTTAAAACAGATATACGAAGTTCATTATAAGCTATACTATTTGGAGACATATACATTTAAAAACTTAAAATTCTTTATATACATAGTCAAGATAAATGAATTGTTCCATGTGAATGCAACTGATTTACTTGTTTGCTAAGTAAATATTGAATGAAATCCCAACAGAAGCATACTTTCAAATACTGACTTAACTCTAGTTTTTGAAAACCTACTCAAAGTTTACTTTAAAAATACACTTTAAAACTTTAAGGTCTTTCAAAGGAAATATTTTATTATACAGATCATTCAAAGCACTGCCTGTGTTACTTGATGTTTGTAAAGATAGGAAACCAGAGCAGACCACAGAAACAAACTAGAAGCAGCTTTCATGCAGATGAAGGCAAAGGTCAGGGAATATTTATATCTAAACCCAACAGGAAGTAAAACATATTAAGACTGTGATTACAAAATCTCCAAATGACATCAAGGGACAATTCCCTGGAAACGGGGTATAAGAACTTTTCACTTCATACAAATTTTGGAACAATTTGAGTTTTTAACTAGACTTGCATTTAATTGCCCACATTGACTTTTGAATAATGCAGCTTGAACTTAGCTGCTGGGCCCTTGGGATCACAGGTGCCTAAACCCATTCCTTTTACTCTTTGATTTTTCCCATTCTTTATGTCTGCTTATGCATCATGTTAGAAAAAAATGTCCTACTTACTACCTTTGGAGGTGCCAGTGCCAAGAAATGAAGAAGGACCACATTCTATTCATTCTTAATATTTTCCAGAGAGGTGAGAAGAATGGAAACTATGAGCCTTGACTTGGGCCTGACTGAACAATCCCACCAAACCATTCCTGACAGTCTGGAGAGTATCAAGTTAGCTGCCACAGCCATATAGGAACCAACCCCAGGAATTCTACAACAGAGATGATGGAATGAAGATCAAAGTCACCAGCACACTCAAGTCATTATGGCTTTGATTCAAATTCAAGCACCTTTTTAATCACATACACAGTGATGATGACTATTATTTGCTAGCATAAAGATAACATCCTATTCAGTGAAGAAACTGCCCAGTAGGCTGACGTTTCACCCACAGACGAAGCAGAGGAAGTTGGTGCCCTAAGTCACAATACCTGGGTGTGAGCCCCATCATATACACACAATCAAACAACTTTTCAAAAAAGATAAATGATGATCAAGACGAGGAAAAAAAATGAAACAAAAAGAAATGTTTACTGGTAGTGACATACCTGCTTCTACTTTTGTCCACAGGAAAGATTCGAATAGATTTATCAAAACTAGCAGACACAAATTCTTTCCCAGTGGGGGAGTAATCCACATCAAGCACTGCAGATACGTGATCCATGTGGACCATTACAGGAGTGTCCAGCGCACGCATGTCAAAAGTATAGAGGCTGTAAGAGGATTTTTAATTATTTGAAACAAATTTCTACAAAAAAGGATATAGAGCACTAAGAGATATTAGTGAAAATAAGACTGTCAGCTAAATAAGGCACATCTAAGTAAACAGCTCAGTTCTTCACACAGCAGGTAAGGGACAGTGAAAAATATCAAGAGTTTATTTATTCCTTAAGATTACACGTACACACTTTCATCCTTATAAACATGAATCTCATTGTAGAAAATGTGCAAACTCCAAAAAAGTACAGAGTACAAAACTTACCTGGAGAAAATCAGTTAACACAGTGTAATTATTTCTAATCTTTTCACTATGCTATTTAATTATGTACTTTTAATAAAAATAGTACTGTATAAAACTGTATTCTGGTATTTCATGTAGCATATGAGCATTTTTATCCATTAAATAATATTTGAAAATATTTTAATGGTTTCATATGCAAATATGAATTAAAATAATTTATAGTTTGTTTAAATCAATTTCTTTATTAATAAAAAGCTTCCAGTATTTTATTATTGTAAGTAATTCTTAAATAAAATAAAATTTCAATATATTAATTTTGACATTTAATCTTTAATCAAATGGGATAAATTTAATTAAATATGAACAGATTTCTACAAGTAGACTTATTAAATCCAAAGCATGAGCATTTTTAAGGCTTTTGAGTTGACAAATCATATCCAACAAGGTTGCATTAATTTATATTCCTATCAGTGATATATGGGTGAGCATGGCTTTTCAAAGGGTGTTCCTAAATTAAAAAACTAACTTTGTGCACCGCTGGTAAAAACAATGACTATGGTTTTCAAGGTTTAAAAATTCTTAATGGACAGCTAAAAGAATAGCGCTCCAAATGAACCAACACGGACAAGGGACAGTAGTACTACAGCATTACTGTGGCCAAATTCCTAACATTAAAATATTTCTAGATGCTAAGATTTGTGAGTAAAAGTTTGAGGAGAAAGAGGATACCCATATAATTTCTAAGCATCTTCCCAAAGATATGTATTACTTATAAAAGGAAAAAATAGTAACTTTATAGTGAAGAAAACTGGCAGACACCACTTTAACTAATGGATGAAGGTTAATATCACCAGTAATAAGACATGATGATATCATGCACCCCTGATCTGATGCACCAAGAAGGGCACATCAATTTTGTGGTATTCTTGCCAAAAATCTCAATCTAATAATGAGAGAACACCAGTTAATCTCAAATTAACGGCAGTCTCCAAAATAACTGACAAGTCCTTCTCAAAAGTACTAAGGTCATGAAAAACAAAGGAAGATTGAGGAACAGTCATAAATTGAGCAGACCAAGGAAACGTGGCAATGAAATGCAATGTGGGTTCTGTGTTGGCTCCTAGAACAGTAAAAGGACATTAGTGGTAAGACTATGATGGGATAAAGTCTGTAGTTTAGTTAATGGTATTGTATCAATATTAATTTCCTGGTTTTACTAATTGAACTATGGTTATGTAAAACATTAACATGAGGGGAAACTGGCTTGACAAGTACTATTTTTGTAACTTTTCAGTAAGCCTAAAATTATTTCAAAACAAAAATTTTTTAAAAACCTAACACTTCAAAAAGTATTTTTTTAATACCATTACAATGAAAAGTCATTGATGTTAATGATAAAAATTCCCAAACACCATGAAATTCTTATCAACAGACAAGTCACTGTTCTCTTTTTAAAATCTTCCAACAGGGGGAGGGTATAGCTCAGTAGTACAGTGTGTGCTTAGCATGTATGAGGACTTGGGTTCAATCTCCAGTACCTCCATTAAAATAAATTAAAAAATAAACCTAATTATCTCCCTCTCCCAAAAAAACCACAGACCCCCCAAAAGTAGTAAGATTAAAAAATTAAAAATTGAATGTTTAAAAAAATATGATTTAAAAACAGAAAAATCTTCCAACATTACACAGGATTGCCAGTTAAGGTCACACTGATCCTTGCAGTTAAATTATTGAGTTGACAACTGCTTTATATTCTCTATCTAGAGCAGTGGTTCTCAACTAGGTTTGTTTCTTTTGTTTGTTTTAGCAAATTTTGTGGGATTTTTAGTAAACTGTTTAAATTTCTACATGAGAAAAAGGTTAAGAGCTTAATCAACCCATATGGATGCAAGATGTTTATGTAAACAAAGTTCAAGTCACAGGATACTTCAGGAATAATCTATTCCAATTCTGTTGTCTTATCAATGATGAAACCATGGTATAGACCTAGCTTACATGACTTGTCCAGTGTCTATAGTAGTTACTGGTTAGGTGTAGACTTGAACTTGGGTTTCTAAAGCAGGATGATTACATTATTTAAAGGGCAAGAGAAGAAATAAAAAATAGAAAAAGAACATTAGAGCAAGATCAATTTCAAGTGAGAGCAATTGGTTCGCTAACAGTCACTTCTTAAAGGGATGTGCTTTTTGTTTCAGGTGTCATACATAATTCCTCCTAAGGCAAAAAATGAGAAATGCCAAAGATACTCTGAAAAAAGATATCTAGCCCAAACAGCTAACTGAAACCAACTTTAGAAACCTTAATAAGGTTAGTCGGCAGGACATTTTTTATTGCCTATTAACTGGGACAAGGTCAGTTAATTTCAAATATCAATAAAGGCTAAAAGGGCTTCAATTAATGTAGTTTACTATTCTTAGTTAATGAGAGTTCAACTGAACTTCTTTTTAGTGCAGAAAAGTCATAATAGATGTTTTTATTGGTACCACTACAGCACCATGTAATAAATCCTATTTCTGAGCTAATCTGTGCTTTCATAAGTAACAGTAGTGGAAGGAACACACAACTTAAATACAGAAGATCTAAAATTCAATCCAATGATAAACTTCCACCTTCTCAAAAAAACACGTGTTAAAAATCCATCACATGTTGCTCAGGTAAACACTCAAAGTATAATTTACATTTGACTATTTCTCTCTTTTCATTTCCCATTTTAACAACCACTTGCAATTTGAGTAAAAATTTTAAAAAATAAAAAAAAAATCCATCACATGTATAGCACTATAAATGGTTTGGATAAAAAAAAAAGATGAGTAAGATCCCTTTCCTCATTAGGAGATTAAACTCCCTACATCAATAGCCTCATCTGTAAAAAGGCGATTACATGTCCTTTCCACCCTATAGGAACACTGAGAAGATAAGTGAGCTAATGTGAAATGCTTCAACAAGTTTTAAGGCAATATATAAGAAATCATAAAATTCCATCTAGGTCAAGAACATAAGGCTGCTAAGTCACCTTTACATGGAGTCACAGAATCCTGTATCTGCAAACATTAAGATAAAGATTGAAACTATACTTTAACTTTCATCTCACTAAAGTAATACTGGTAGCTGCTAACATAATCACACTGAGTTATCAACTATCTGAAGAGTTACACATTTTATAGACAGATATTTTTAGTTCTATTAAAATTTGTATGATTCAGTCATTATTTATATGGTCTACATCAGAGATCAGTCAACTTTTTTCGGTAAAGGGCCAAATAATACACATTTTTGGCTTTGTGAGTCATATGGTCTCTGTTGCAACCACTCAACTCAATATTATAGCACAAATGCAGCCACAGTCAATAAATAAATGCGGTTATATTCCAATATAACTTTACAAAAACAAGCAGCAGACAGGATTTGATCCACAGATCACAGTTTACTGTCCCTGGTCTATATCATTTTGAAAACTTTTTAAGAAGTGCTTCTCCAATTTGGGAAACATTCCTTTTCAGCAAAACAATTTTCTGATATATAGGAAGGAATGCTACCTACGAAAACGAATTTCAATAATAAGACTTAAACAATTGAGTCATTTCTGATAGAAATAAGCAAGTTTTAACCAAAGGGAAACTTACTTGTAATCTTCATTTGCTGCAGTAAAAACGAAAGCTTCCATAGGGTTCCAGCAAATTGTATTTGTTCTCATATCTAAGATGACCTGAGAAAGGAAGCATATACTAACCCATCACTATGAAATTATTTCCCTCTAAAATGAATAAATTCCCAACTCATTTTCTTTCCTTCTTTTTTCACTGATTTAAGCAAATATTTTAGTAAACACCTATTATGTGCACAGTACTTGACTCAGTATAATAGGGAAAGAAAATTAATAATTGTTTCCTGAATACATAGGCAAAGTGGTAAATATTGAAAAACATAAAAACGTTTAATAAATGGGCCCTTGACCTCAAAAAGTTTAGTTAGGAAAATGAGACATACATAAGAAAAGTTAAAATATAAACAACGAAGCAGTAAATGATTAAATACCAAATCAGGGGCAACATTAATGGTGAATTTAGGATTAAAGTGGAGAATAAAGGTTTCAAAAGATAAGCATCATTTGAGCTGACCTGTGAAGGACAAGTGCATTATAGTGTCTCTCGTGCTCACCTCGGCAGCACATATACTACAGTGTCTCTCAACAGGAACGTTTTGGGCAGAGTAATCTGTTGTGTGTGATTATCCACTGCAGGATGTTCAGCCTCTCGGGGCCTGCTCTTTCATGATAGAAGCAGTCTCTAAAATGCCCCACCCCCCACTGCCAAAACTATAGTTGGTAGAGGAATACAACCCCCGTCTGAGCTCTACTACATTTAGGAGAGAATTAATAAGAAACATCGATAGTCTAGTAGCTAGAACACAGAAGTAATAGAAAATAGCATGTCTGCCTCCATCAAGGTGACAAATGTGACAAACCCTATCCCTATTTAAAGGTTCCCTTACTGACTGAAACAAATGAAGAGATGGAAGACAATTTTGGACCAGATTTTGGAGGCCCCTGAGAACCAGGCTACAGTTCTTTTCTTCAACCTTAAAGTAATGAAGAGTCATTAACAACTGAGAATGAAGGGTTGAAGGGGGCAGAAACCATTTATGAAACCAGTACTTCTGCTTAATGCTTCCAGTATCATGTTTTATTCTCACCACTGTGCTACAGGGTAGTTATTAATATCATCATTTCACAGGAGAAACATAGATTAAGTCACCTGCTTAAAGGATAACACCAAAGTTCATGTAGGATCCTCCCAGTATATCACATGAATGAGTGAAATGATTAGAGTGGTATTTTGGAAAGGTTATCATATTTATTTAGTTCAAACTTCAATGAATATACTCTACTTCTAATATTTCTAAATTTACTACATGTTCTAAAATTATTTAGGAACAACAAAATTATTAAGAGCATTTCTTTGACATGTGGACTATGACAATATACCCATGGTACATAAATGATGTCTAGCTTTTCTTGTTCTCTCAATTCTAACGCTTGAAATCAAGTTTATATCCTTTTACTTATAATAGCACCCCTCTCTTTACCAACAATATTTCTCTCCCTCTTTAGAATCAGCATAAGGTTGTTTTCACTTTGATATCTAAATCCTGGAATAACTGCTTTAGAACTGTTGAGAAATCTGACACCTTGAAGAGGATAGAGCTTGTCTAAATAAAACGTCAAACCAGTACCCATCAGTGTGTAACTAAACAAATAAAGGTGGTTATGTGAACTAGTTGCAAAACTTTCTGGAATAAAATACTGTCTGTGTCATATGATAATCACGAGGTCTGATAAAACAGGATGCAATACTTTTTTTTTTTTGATGCAATACTTTAAGAATTTCCAATTCAGTAAGTACGAACTAGATGCCAAAAATTTGCTGGCATTATGGAAGACATAAAGAAGACTAGGAAACAGTACTTTGTGAAAATTTAAGGGTCTCTAAAAAGCAGCAGGGAATTGAGAATGCCATTATGACCATTTTGGGTTCTAAAAACATCTCTATCAAAAAGATTTTCTTTTTACTTCTGAAAAAACATTTGCTCTATAATTTCAGTCACTACATTTAAGGGGAATGCATTGACATTTTGATAAAGCAGAAGACATTTTGAAACTCACCTTTTTCAGAGGAGTAGCCTGCCTCATATCATACAGTACTATATTCCTGTCAGAAGCACAACTTCCCAAGAGAAATGTCTAAAAATAAGTGTAACAATCAACAGTTAAAAGCCAGGCTTGGCAGCAAACCATGTCCATTCACTGAACAAATGATTTATTTAGCTTTAATGTTTGTATTTAAGATGCAAAGTTATAACAAGTCCATTTTAAGAGGGTACAATGACTCCCTCATAATCTCAGTAACCTACAGCAAATATTTTCATTGTTAAATCCTCATGAATGTATTTTAGATGCCCATGATAGTGTACAGATAATTCTGTACTCTATTTTACAATAGAATGTACTTTACTTGTCCATTCTTCAACTTAGATCTGTTTCTTGCTCTTCAGTATTCTAAATAACACTTCAATGAACATTTTCGTACATTCAGCTCTTCTTTTTCTAAGTATACAATTTTAGTAGTGGCATTACTGAATCAAAAAGTATGAAAATTTTATGGCATTTGACATTTAGGGCTAATTGTTTCCCAAAAAGTTGTACCAATATACATTGCAATGTGGAAATATATCAATTTTACTGCAACCAGGCAGCACTGGGTAGTGTCATTTAAAAGTTATTATTTGTACGGCAATATTTCCTATGTATAGCCATCTTCTGGTTTCTGTTGGGGATTGGTTCCAAGACCACCCATGAATACCAGAATCATGGATGCTCAAGTCCCTTACTGTCGATCCTCTGTACCCACAGATGTAAAACCTGCAGATATGGAGGGCCAACTGTATAAATTATTGCTTTATTAAGCAGTTAAACATTTCCTTATGTTTATTAACTCTCTGTATAAACCAGGCCTGCCCTTTGTCTAACTGTTTCAAGATATTTCAAATATTTATTTGTTAGTCAGTTATAAGTGTGCAAAGTGCTTATATAATCCTTGGCATTAAGTGAAAATAAGCCCTTCAACTACCGGCAGAGCCCCAAATCCCACCCTTTGTAGTGCCCTCCCTCCTCACTCATGGCTCCTGACACTCACAGCTCCTGGCTTCTGCCTACTATTATTCCTACTGCAAGTGCAGGAGGAACAAGAAGAGTTATTTACTAAATAGCTGTATGGTCTGCTAACTCCTACCACATGAGCGTATATAGTTCAAATAAAACTCATAAGGCCAATGCTACCATCATGATCTCTTCTCAGTCCTCTCCAACACCCCCCCCCTTTTAAGCCACTTCCTCCCTGAGACTTTCCCCTTTAGTTAGTGACTCCTCTCAACCTTCCTTGGTTTCTCATTATGTCACTTCAAGGTCTGACCAGGTTCTATTTCTGAAAGTAAAGGCTTTAATTTGAACAAAGCAAAAAATTCTATCTAGATGGAAAATTGACTTTTTTACTGTAAAACATACCAATGCTCAGCATAAACTTTTGGCTTTATCAGAATTCTAGGCTTCAATATTTTAACAGAAAATTAATTATTAATGATTAGAGGAGACAAATACACTTCATTTGTTCTCAGCAACATACCCTTTCCATTAAGTATAAAATAGGATAAAAGACATGCACACCATTTGCTTTTATCACTAAGCCAGTTCATAAGGTTAATAAAACACACACATATACACATACAGCTGAACAAACAAGAGTTTTTACTCAGGCAAACCTGAAAAACATGGTTGCTAGGTCATCACTAATAATTAATTATGATTTTAGGATTGGCCGTCAGCTCCTCTGACACAGGTGTTCACCAGAACAGACAAATAAAAGATCCTGTTTACCCCTTAGAGAAACAGGAATCAATATGTCTGCTCCTTCCATTTATTTTTTTTAAAACAGTAATAACACCACCACCTTAAATTTGGGTAGCACCTTTTAAAAATATTCACATATTTAGCACCTTTTACACTTAAACCTATGAAGTGCACTGGAAGATATAATTAATCTCATCTTAAAAATAAAGAAACAAGTAAGAGAAACATTGTGACTTGTATAAGGTCACACAAAGGCACACTGGCAGAAAATACAGTCCCAGCTTAGCTCCACAGCAAGTAGGACACAAAATGTTCCTACACATCACTTGTGTTTGTAGACTGCTTCTGCCCAATGTCACCCTGGCCTGGCTCAGCAAAGGTGGCTTGCCCCTTCGTGCCATGTCTCACTTCTACCACCAAGGGGAATCCAGGAAAGAGAGACAGAGGAGGGCCTGAGGAAGACGTAGTAGGGACGGATACTCTGAACCAGCAATCACTAACTTTTCCTGTAAAGAGCCAGAGAGGATGTATTTTAAACTCTGTGGGCCATACGGTTTCTGCAGTGTTAACTCTAAGTTGCAGTGCAAACACAGTTACAAACAATGTATAAGCAAGAGGCTGAATTCCAGTAAAGCTTAAAAAAATTTTTTTTTTTTTTTTTTTACCAAAACAGGCAGTGGGTTCACAGACTAGTTTGCCTACTCCTGCTCTAGACCTATAGCCCCTCCCAGAACTGTGTATATGGGTGTATGCTGGGGCAGGAAGAGTATCCGCTGACCTCAAGGCCACATTCACCTCCCACTACAGCACTTCACATTCTAACACATTATACAAACAGTCTTATGGTCTACTACTTTGACTTAACCTTTTCCCCCTTCTTTTATCAGTCAGGGTCTCTGAGAGTGTAAACCTTGCACATCAGAGTTTTCTCTGATACCCACTAACAAAATAATCCCCTGATAATTTCTAAAATCAGCATATACATGCAGTGATTTCCTTTTCTTTCTGCAGGAAAGGGCATCTCTACCCAGTCTTCTGGACAGTGAGTTCAACTGTTATGTATTCAGAAAAAGCTGAGGAATGCTCTGGTGTTCAAGGGCTAACTTAGCCTTCAGGGAAGCCTCCTTTCCCAAAGTCAGACCTGAATAAACAAGTAGGCTAATCTCCAACTCTTCCTTTAGACCTGGAGGGAACTAGGAATCACAAGTCAGACTTCGGAGCAAAGAAAAATGTAACTGTAACTAATTATCATGTAGTACAGTAATAACTGTGCACATCATTATGAAGTACTGGTGCCCTGTCACTTACAAATAATTAGTGAAAACAATGGTCAACATTCCTTCAGACCTCCTAGAAAGTTAAGAAAAATTACCATTTTCCTCAAGATGCAAAGATGTAATCTGTGGAAAATGAGTGCTGAAGGCACAAGTGAAACTGAAGTTTCACAGACAGTATGTGCTTGGATTCTAACCCCACGAGCACACGCACACACCCTCCTCTAAAGTGCTTACACTGCTGTCAGGGAGTCAACTGCAGGCAATCATGTCAAGATCTGATCAAAGAAGGTATCAGAATTCAGGTATAATCTGGAGAATTGACCAAATGCCAGAACACAATAAAAATTCTTGTATCACACATTTAAAGTTTTCTAAATAGAGATGAAATGATAAGATCACAAGGAAACAATAAACAGAACATATTTCAAAGGGGAATTTTACCTCGATTGGGTTAAATTTAACACTGCTTATACTGTCAAATCCCCAGGTCATTGAACATATAGGATTAGTTCTTTGTTCATCCCAAATGTCTACTTGCTGTCCACATGTGGCAAAAACAGGTTCCTTCCAGTGATGATCAATTCCTGTATATACTGTCTTTAAAAGCAAAGAGGTTATTAAAGCTATTAGATGAGTCTTTTCATTAATACTTCACATCTACAGAAAAATATTTAAAATATATTTCCCTACACTCATTTGTTTAAGAAAATTCCTGCTCACAAAGAAATTTTTTTGAAGCCCTTAAAGAAGAAAACTACCGTAAGTAGTGATGTTTCTTATCACACATTCTGGGGATAAAGAAAAATATTAACATGAGATCTATTTAATTAAGTATGAATACATATCAATGAAGTAATTTTTAAATCATCATTGGAAAAAAAAATCATCACTGGGAACTGAAGGATCTTGGAACCAACTAACCAAATACAAAGGTAGTTTCTGAAAAAACTTAGTTCCACATTTAACACATGAAGTACTGATCCCAGGACAGAAACATGGATATTAACAACTGGATTAAAATTTAGAGGAGGAAATAAAATTGGCAAGCGTGGATGCTAATATTATTAAAAACAATAAAACCCCGTAAGTTTGATATTATTCACTTAAACTATGTGACTGATCTATTCAGGGTCAGATTAAAGCCTGCCTCTGTGCTATATGGTAGAAAACACTTGCAAAGCAAATTAAAGGCAACCGTTTAGCCAATACTTCAAAGCTTCTAAGAACTCTTATCAGCATCTGTAGGTTTTGAATTACTTTCTATTCATGAAGGCAAGTCCTACAAACTTCTCCACAGTAAGAATTAATCCCCAATACCACAGAGATGGTATAAATATTTCAAAAATCTTTGGAACTCCTACAGAAAAGACATTTTATAAGAATGAAACCAATTTTGCTTTAGGACTTAACTAGTTTTTTTACCATCTGTAAATTATTTTCATCTCATACTCATATCCCAATCCCCATGTCCCTCTAAGAGCATTTAGGTCAACTCAATAGAACTCAACAAGGCCCCAATCATGGCTGGACCTCATTTAAAAAAAAGAACATTTACAAGTTCCTGAAACCTGAAAAACAGAATCTACATATATACTAACCATAATACCAAAATGACACAGTGATTTTAAAAATGCATATATTTAAAGGTTAATTCTAATTTTACAATTTCACCTAATATCAAAACGTAAGCATTATAAAACATGGGAAGGCCTAGTGATCTGAATTATTAAGCTATCACTTAAGCTACAACATAACCATACCATCTGATTTGTAGAATGATGTTATAAGAAATGTAAATAATACTTATACAAAAAAGCATCTATTTTTTCATTTCCTAAACAATTCTTTCCAGTAAGAAATTCTGACCTTTGTGTAAGATCTATAATGATATAAATCAAATAGAAGCTGATGCCTTTTTTTTTTTCTGACCTTTTATCTTATAGATTTCCTCCCCTGGCCTATAGGAAATTTTCATTGCATCCTCTAGCAAAAAAACAGAAATCAAACCCTACTACAATGAACACTGAAGAACTGTTCAAATTCTTTAGCTGTAGAGGACCTTAGTTGTATTAAATACTGCTTAAAATAGGTCAATTATTGCAACCTAAAGTCTATGATTTCTTATTTACATATTTCTTTTGGAAATTAAAATTATAAAATACTTTTAAGTAAAAGAGAAGAATTTTAATAGGAAAAATATGGGTCAATTTATTTTTATACCTTTCCTAATATTGTATGCAATGGCTCATCCTCTTCTCCATACCCTGGTCCATCCATTTTCCACTGCTTCACAGTTTTGTCATCACCAACCTAGAAATATTTATGATGAAGATGATAATGAACAACAGTTATAAATCGTAAACTTGCCAACACATACAACAAATTATAAATTATCTCCAGTTTAAAAAATAACACATACCATATTCTTCCAGAACCGAATTCAGTTATCTATTTATATCTCACCTTATTATACTAAAGATTTATGACAAATACATAAGTAAATAAAATTAAAAATAAAGTATGAGTACAGTGGAAGAAGAATAAGGGTAGGAACAACGTTAGGTCATAAATATGGCAAAAATGCATACAATAATAAAGATGGCATTTCAAAGTAGGGAGAAAAATGAATTACAAAAATGGTACTGTGGTATCACACTGGTCATTCAAAAAGTATGAACCAATCCGACACCTGACATTAAAACAAAATTCCAGATAATTTTAAATGTAAAAAATGAAACAAAAAAGACACTAGAGAGAAGGTATTTTTATAATCTTTGCATGGATAAAGCCCTTCTTTGCATGATACAAAACTCCAGAAACAATAAAGTCAGGGGTTTTCAAACTGTGAACTGCAGACCTCTGAAGGACCCTGAGAATTTTTCAGGAGTCCACAGGTTAAAATTATTTTCATAATGTTAGTAAAGGCATTGTTTGCCTTTTCACTGAGCTGACAGTTACACAGGTGGTGAAAGCAACGGTGGGCAGAACTGCTGACACCTTAGCCCAAATCAAGGCAAGGCAACAACCTGGGTATGTGGCAGATACGTTCAAGATATTGGGTATACATAGGTTTTAGTAATACGTTTTTGGATATGTCTCCTCAGGCAAGGGAAACAACTGAGACTACAAAAAACTAAAAGGCTTTTGCATAGCAAAGAAAACTATCAACAAAATGAAAAGGCCACCTACTGAATAGGAGAAGATATCTGCAAACAATGTATCGGATAAGGGATTAGTATCTCAAAAATACAAAGAACTCATACAATTGAACATCAAAAAAAAAAACCCAATTAAAAATGGGCAGAGGATCTGAAGAGATTATTTTTTCAAAGATGACACACAGATGGCCATCAGGCACATGAAAAGATGTTCAACACCACTAATCATCAGGGAAATGCAAATCAAAACTACAATAGGATTATCACCTCACATCTGTCAGAACGGATATGATCAAAAAAGTCAACAAATAACAAGTGCTGGTGAAGAAGTGGAGAAAGGAGAACCCTCATGCACCATTCACTCATGGGTATGTAAACCAGTGCAGCTGCTATGGAAAACAGTATGAAGAGTCCTCGAAAAATTCAAAATACAACTACCATATGATTCAGCAATTCCATTTCTGGGTATTTGAAGAAAACAAAACACTAATTAGAAAAGATATATGCACCCCTATGTCCACTGAAGCATTATTTACAATAGCCAAGATATGGAAGCAGCCTAAGTGCCCATCAATAGATGAATGGATTTTTTAAAAATGAGGTATATATACACAATGGAATTATTACTCAGACACAAAAAAGAATGAAATCTTGCCATTTGTAACAACATGGATGGACCTAAGGGGTATTATGTTAAGTGAAAAATTCAGACAGAGAAAGACAAATACTGTATGATTTCACCTATATGTAGAATCTAAAAAAAAAACAAATGAACAGATATTAAAAAAAACAAAGAGTTATAGATACAGAGAAGAAACATGTGGTTGCCAGAGGGGAGAGTGGGTGAGGGAATGAGAAATAGGTGAGGGAGATTAAGAGGTACAAACCTCCCGTTGCAAAATAAATGAGTCATGGGTATGAAATGTACACTGTGGGGAATACAGTCAATAATTATGTAGTATCTTTGTATGGTGACATGTCTTAACTAGATTTATTGTGGTGGCTATTTTGAAATGCATAGAAATATGGAGTCACCATGTTGTGCAACAGGAATTAACATGGTCAATTATAGGTCAAAAACAAACAAACTCATAGAAAAAGAGTTCAAATTTGTGGTTCCCAGAAGCAGGGGTTTGGGGGAGGGAGAACTGGATGAAGGCAGCAAAAAGGTACAAAGATGAGTAAGTACTAGGGATATAATGTACATGATAAATATAATTAACATTGCTGTATGTTACGTATGAAAGTTGTTAGAAAAGTAAATCCTAAGAGTTCTCATCGCAAGGAAAAAATTTTTTTTTCTATTTCTTTTGTACCTATACAAGATGATGGATGCTCACTAAACTTCCTGTGGTAATTATATCATGATATATGTAAGACAAATCACCATGCTGTACACCTTAAACTTATATAGTGCTGGAAGGAAAAAGATTTACTAGGTAAAATAAGGTGCAAAACAAAATGTATAATATAACCTGGTCTGGGGTTAAAAACATAAAATAATCATATAGTGTTGCTGAACAACTGTATATATACCAAACTGCTAGCTTTAATTGAAAGCAGAATTTCAGGGTGCATTAATTTTCTGTTTTCACATCTCTGTATTATATACAAATATACACCTACTTTTAAAATAAAAATATTAACAAGGATATATATTCATCCATGGGAGGAGTGTGAATTTAGCTCCTTTCTTACAGCAAATTTAAAAAGGGGATACCCTTCCTGCAAAATAATTCACAATACTCATGATATCAGAATAGGTAAGGGATTGGGAGAGTTTAGGTGCTAAAGCCAGACAAGAATTTCTTTTGTGGAGGATACTAATAAATGGAACATTTATTAACAATATCCTTATAATAGAAAGTACTTAATAGGGCTATATCTTATTAACAACTCTGAATCTTAGCTACTGGCATCATACCAAACCTCAATTCTGGAAAATCAACTCTACTGGGAGCCAGGAAGATGTGATCTAGGTACCGAAGTCTCAGCTGATCTGACTTGACCCAATGCAATATTTCAGCATTTATGGAAGACAAGATGAACTGTCACTGAACATGACTTCCCTGAAGGCTGTTTATTTCAATCAAGCTTCTGATAAACTATGTCTTCAAGCTCAAGACTAAACTTAGGAAGTTCAGTAAATGACTAAGCTACTCTAAACAGTCTATTGAATGCAACCCTTAGCAGACCATCAATTCTGAGAAATTTTACAGTTTTGTAGAAAAGAGGAGCCAAACTAGAATATGAGCCTGGCTAGAACATCTCATACCTAGGCTGAGTAAGGTGGAGAAGGACCTGCCAGTACCACAAATTGGGTTACTGCAGATACTATGAAATCTATGTAATAAAAGTTTTATCTTTTGCAACGTTGTATATTAAACATTTTTTGAAACATCAAGTGCTGAAATTATGCCAAGTACTTTCCACAAGTGTCTCATTTCTAACCAAGTAAGCATTACTTAAAAATATCTGAAGGGAGAAATGAATAGTAAATTTGAAACATTTTCAGCCTTTATTCATTTCAGCCTTAAAAAAAAAAAAAAGACCCAAAACAGTTAATCCTCTGGCTAGGATACTAAACTAATCAATATAATCAGAAGAATAACCAGCTGGAAGAAGTTTAGATGCAGTCTGCTCCAACTTCCCACCCACTTTCTTCTACAATACACAGCATACAGGGTCATGAAGCTTGTCTGCACCCCTCTAGTGAAAAACAATGGAATACCTCACAAAGTAGTCTCTCTTGGCTTTTGACAGCAAGTTAAGTTTTTCTCTGCATTGAAACCAAATCTTTTAACATTAACACCTACTCCTCATGTATCAATATGGAACCACAAGTAAGTCCATTTTCTCTTTCACAGGACAACCTTTCAAATATTTAAAGGCAGCTATCAGATTTCCCAGAAGTCATCTCTTCCCTTTATCATTCCCTTGCAATCTGGCTTTTGCACTCAGCATGCTACTCAATTTGTTCTTAAAAAAAAAATCACCACTGAATAAAGAATAAGGAAGATTTACATGGTTGGTTAGTGTGCATGGGTACACAAATGTTGTATATATATGTTAAAACATTTGAAAAGATATACACCAAACTGCTAACAGTGTTAGAACTGAAAGAGAATTAAAGGACTTTAACTTTCCATGTTTCACAGGTCTGCATTCCTAAAATATTTTGCTCAGTCTTCATTTTCATCATCCTTTGTTCATACAACAACCTATCCTTTCCTCCTGGGTCATTAAGCTCATTCATAGGCTCTTGTAATTCTCTAGCTGCTCCCTGAGTTTCCCACTTGATAGATGGGCATTTCCCAAGGCTGTTTCCTGACATCTGCATATTTCTACATTCTCTCCTCCCCTCCACCCCCATGATGCCACACCGGCTTCAATCATTACTTCTGTACTGATGATGCCAAGTTTAGCTCTGCCTTCCCTTGTGAGCTCCAGACCTGCATCTGTAAAGGTCTGGTAGGTATCTACACTTGAACACTCCATTGGCAGTCCAGCTCATCACGCTGTATCCTTCCCATTCCCACCCTCCCTCTGCTAAACCTGCTGATAATCCTGACTTCCCGATTTCTGTAATAGAAACCGCCATCTTCCCAGGTACTCCTCAGCTGCCAAGCCTGTCAAATCTCTAAAATGTTTCTTAGCCTAACAACTGCTTTCAGCTGTTTTCAGTCCTCAGAGTTGACTCTTCTTATTGCTTATACAGATTATTAACAGCCTCCAAACTGATCACTTAGTGCTGTCAAATTTATCATCTCAAAGCATAGCTTAGGTTCTGTCAATCCCCTATTAAAAAACTTTCGATGAACTTGAACAAATATTTCTGTTCACCAATGTTCATAGTAGCTTTATTCACAAAAGCCAAAAGGTAGAAACAACCCAAACGTCCACTGTTGGATGAATAGATCAATAAAATGTTGTATATACATACAGTAGAATGTTATTCAACCTTAAAAAGGAAATTCTGACACATGCTACATGGTTGAGCCTTGAGAATATAATGCTAAGTGAAATAAACCAGACACAAAAGGGCAAATATTATGATCCCACTTATATGAGGTACCTAAAATAGTCAAACACAGAGACAGAAGCAGGACAGTGATTACCAGTGGGTGGGGGCAGGGGTATAGGGGTGAGAGAAGAGTAGTTTCAGTTTGGGAAGATGAAAAAGCTCTGGAGATGGACAGCGGTGATGGCTGCACACTGATGTGAATGTACTTAATGCCACTAAAATGTACACTTAAAAATGGTGAGAATGGTAAATTTTATGTTATGCATATTTTACCACACATATACCCACAAATCCTTCAATGATTTACTATTAACAACAAACGGATTACAAATTACTCATTCCTAGCACTGAAAATCCTCCAGATTAAACCAAACTACCTTTCTAGCCTCATCTTGTTTTAATGCCACTTCTCAGTTAGTGCAATAATACATTAAGTAATTATGTATAAAGAAATTACAAAGTACGGGAAAGGTCGGATTACGTAAAGAAAACTAGTACTTTTATAGGCTTTAATAAGTTCATCTGCATTGTGAAACACAAAAATGGCCTTGGACCAAATAAATCAACTCAGAAAATATTCAACTGGATTGGTCTTACACATGTTGAAAAGAGTTAATGACTCAATCGCATCATACTTACAGTAAAAAAAGAAGTCCCACAAAAACGAGTACATATTCCTCGTACAAAACCTTCATGCGCTTGTATCGTACGAATACATTTTCGTTTAGTCAAGTTCCAAATTCTAACCTATGATGAAGCATATCAGGAAATTTCGGTGAACTATAAACAGAAAATGTTCAGGCACAGGAGTATTACATTCCACGAAAAATAAATTCAACACTGAAAAGGCTACAAATCATTCCACTGGACAGCTAAAAATAAAATCCTCTAAATTAAAATAGTGCAATGCATATGGATACATGTATCAACAAGCAGAAACTTCAAATTATTAAATACTACTCATTCTAGTTTAAAGTGTTTCAAAGCTTTCTTTGTCAGAGTGGGGAATAAGTAATTTTTAAAAAATTTTAAGAAGTAAATTAAGTAGTGAATCGTTAATAACATACTCTGTGGGGAAAAACTCATAAATTATCTTTATTGTAAATGTGCCTTGTTACTCACTGTCAAATTGAGCCTTAAGCTATTACATTTTTAATATCTTAGGTTTGGTTAAGAACTACTGAAGTTTCCAATTCAGATAGAATTTAGTCTTGAAATTAAAAGAAAACAGCACATAGAAAAATGAAATCAAACCAATTAAAACCCACAGTAACTCAAAACTAAAGGAAGAACATTTGTAATATTTAACTACTTTTAGTTTAAAATATCAATGTTTAGAGTGACACTTGCCTCTCCATCACACGCCCCAGAAAGGACAGTAGCCAGGCTCTTCGGATGCTTTGCCAAGCAATTGACTCCATCTCGGTGACCATCCAGGGAAGCAAGGAATGGTTTTGCAAATACCCGTTCCAGTTTGGTAGCATTTAAAGCTCTCACGTATTCTCGTGGGATCTCAAAAGGGTGTAAGGTAGGATCATAGTTCCTTGGAACTGAAATAAGAATGACTCCTCTTAATAAAATAATTCACACTTAATATCTCCTCTGGTCTTCCTCAGCTAATCATTCAATTTGTTAGTCAATAGGCCTTGATTAGGGACACTGGTCTATGCCTAGCACTGCGAAGAATACACAAGCTGAAGACCCTTTGCCCAGAAACCTTTCCAAAATTATCAGAAAGTCATGGAATGCATACACCCTGCAAAATAATTAAGCATTATACACACACACGCAACTTTTCTTTTTTTTATGTCCTACTACACTCTTCAACTGAGCTGTAAGCTTTTGTGGGCAGGGCTTCCCCCATGTTCTTCATTGTACTGTTTATGTCCAGCACAGGGCCTGGCACAAAACAAGTGCATGATAAATATTTGCCTGATTGAACTCTAAGCTCCTTATTGGGCAGAGAACGCTATTAATCTTCAGTGCTAATTATTGTACTGCTCAGCACACAATGTTGCGATTGTGATTTTAGTTACTATTTACTGAGCACTTTTCCATTTTACAACTTAAAAAAAGTTTACTATGTACCAGGAACTGCTCCAAATACTTTACATTAACTCATTTAATCTCCATAACACCCTATGGCTTAAGTTCTATTACTATCTTCCACTTTACAGATAGGGAAACCGAGGCACAGTGGCACACTGTGCATATGAAATGATGGGGCTATGAAGGAAACCAAGGCATTCTGGCTCCAGAATCCATTTTCTTGTCTATGATGTTATGCTGCCAAACATGTGGTCTCAGTTAATAGTCATGCTTAGGAAATAATTCTAAACCCACGTGTCTTAAAAAAACCCTTTAATTTCAAAAAGTAAATGTATCTCCTTTTTCTGACTCCACTAATGGTATTTCACCCAAAATTCAATGAAGTTCAAATGATGGCCATTTTTATGTATTCCATTTTCCACATTCCTCAATAACCAAACTAAAAGTCCTACTTATATTCTCTCTGAAGTATTTCTTATTCATTCTTCCCTTTCTTTTCCTACCTCCAGTAACTTAGTTTGGGCCCTTATTACTATATACTTAGGCTTAGGGATCATGTCATCCTTACTCTATTTGGTGCAGTTTACACTATAATGAGATTTATCATCCTAACGCACAGCTTTTTACATGTTATGCCCGCGCTCAAAAACTTTCAAAAGCTCCCTATAGTAGTAGTCTTCAAGCTCTTTTGATTGTATGTCCCATTAGTAGCAGAGTTTTAGAGAGTCTCCCCGCCTTCAACATACATATTTACTTAATGAAAGCAAATGATTAAAGATGCTGGGTTTTTTTTTTTAATTTCCATTTAACACTATGATAGAGTGATTCAAAGGCTTTAACATCAGTTTTTCTCAAAGTTTGGTTTTAATGGCTATCCAGTTGAAAATGATTAGGCAGAACTCCCTTTTGTATGGTACCGTGTTATCAGAGACCAGAGGATCCAGAACCAACTCTTTGCTCTGCCCAGTTTTTTGCTAACATGTGACTTCAGTCATTTGTGAACCTGTCAAAGAGAAGACTGGTTCAGTAAAGATGGTGCAGTACAGACTGCCTGTACTTCACAAAGACAAGCAATTTCAAAAAGAAGATGTCCATAGTTGGCTACGTTTACTTAGTTAAGTTTAACTTTCAGTCCCAACCACCAGTTTTGTAAAGGTTATTTCTTAAGTATGTCTAGAAAATTTCCATTTACTCTGATGTCAATAGCTGTTGCTACAACTAAGGCAGTTTAATAATTTTAACAGTCAAAAAAATTCAACAAAGTAGATCATTCTTTGTCAATTTTCTTGTGCAAGCAAAAATAAATTTTTACAGGTGACAGATACTGTCGTCATTTTCAGCGTGAAATCTTTTAAATGATGGAAACATTTCCAAACATAGCATTTTCAAACTGATCTCTCCACTGCATGAGATTTTTTGAAAAGTAATCACTTTCTCACTCATCAAAATGGACCTTTAAGTAGCAGGTTATATGTTTATTTTTAATAAATAAATAAAAACTCCGACTTCATATGCATAGCCACAGAAAAGCTCTGCAAATTAAAAAAAAACGTTTAATCCATCATTATGTTCCACAACTCTTCTATGAGGTTTCCATAATATAACCAAAAAACCTCTGTAGGAGAAAAATATTTTCATGGTCCTCCCCATCACTTTACAAGTAATTGTTAAGATTCTATTATTTAAAATAATATAATCTCCCAATAAATATAAATGGTAATACGCCGCAATATTCTGAGTGCAGAAGCAAGCAAACTTTTGTCAACCCGCCGGTCTCTCCCTGGGATCCTTGAAGTACCACATATAGCATGTGACTATTCAACATTAGCTGAAATGAGGATGTCCGGGTCAGTGCAAGTATTATGTAAATAAAGATTAATTTCTTTTCTTATATAAGAAACACAAATCGAAGTCTTTATTATTTTTTTCCATCCCAAAACGGGTAGACCAGTATATCCATTTTAGTTAGAGACCGTGGACCAGTGGAATGAACTGCAAGCTCCTCTCTGGTCTTCCACATTCTGATTCCAACCCACCTCGTTGGCTTCAAGTGCTTTCTAAAACTCAGCTCCAGACAAACTGGTTTATTCATTGTCACCTAAAGCTGTCTCGCACTTTCCTACTCTTGGTTCTCTGCAGAAGCCATTTCTTCTGCCAAGAATGTACTCCAACTTTCACACTAATCTTTCTAAACCCTACACATCCTTTAAAAATATTCAGCTAAAATCTCCTATCTTCTATAAAGTTTTCAAATCACCATGATCATGCCCACCTCTAAATTCATACATTCAGTCAACAATAAACATTCAATAAATATATCTATGGAACACCTACCACATGCTGCAAGCACTGAGGATACCATAGCTAATAAACTCATGACATGTATTTATGTAAGTTATTCTCATTTATCTGTAGGTTAACCAGCTATAGCAGTATTACCAAAGTAGTTTTAAAAATACAGATTCCCTGATGCCCACCTGACGACAATGAGTCAGAATACTCAAATAATTATCTGAAAACTGTACAAAATTTACAAGGAAAGATGATAAGAATAAAGAAAGAGAAACATCTTCCTTATTTTAGGTTTCACAGAGCTCCAATTCCTCTATTTTCCATTTTGCTATCCATTAACACTTCCATCCAGAAAGTATAAAGAAACAGAAAAATGTTACAGAAAATAAGCCCCTTAATAAGAATATCAGGTTACCAATAACCTCCTAACCTTGAGATTCTATGACCAGCCAGTCACTCAGTCCTTCATTCAGACACTACTAAAGCAATGGCTAGGTGCCACGTGCTGTCTAAACACAGGAGATAGAGAAACGAGTACGACTCGGCCACTTTCTGCAAGCTCAATCTGAAGGCAAAGACTGATAGTCACAATAATGAGACAATGTAATAAACACCCCGATATTCGACATTTGTACAAAAATATGTGACAGAGCATAGAAAGAGGGTGCTTAAATGTCTACCAGTGACTGGATAAAGATGTGGTATATATACACAATGGAAAATTACTCAGCCATAAAAACGAATGAAATAATGCCAGTAGCAGCAACAAGGACAGACCTAAAGATTATTATATTAAGTGAAGTAAGACAAAGAAAGACAAATATCATATGATTTCACTTTTATGTGGAATCTAAAAAAAAAAAAAGATACAAATCTTATTTACAAACCAAAAATAGACTCACAGACATAGACAACAAACTATGGTTACCAAAGGGGAAAGGGCAGGGGAGGAATAAATTATGAGTTTGGGATTAACAGATACTATATATGAAACAGATAAACAACAAGGACCTACTGTATAGGACAGGGAACTATATTCAATTTCTTTTAATAACATAGTGGAAAAGAATCTGAAAAAACATATATGTATGTATGTATATTTATAACTGAATTGCTTTGCTGTACACCTGAAACTAACACTGTAAATCAACTACAATTCAATAAAAAACAAAATTTTAAAAAAATGTGTACCAGACCAGGACGGGGAGGGGGAGGACTGGGAGGAGGATCTGCAGTGGATAAGTTTGGAAAGACTGTTGTTTAGAGAAAGCTTCCCAGAGAAAGGATAGAAACTTGGTAAGAGTGTTTGCCACAGGATGCCTGAAATAGAATGTCTGAAATGTACTCAGATTAACAAGAGTAATGTAAGCTACTTTTGGGAAAAGTAGTCACTGGTGAAACTAGAGAGGAAAATAGAACCAAGTTCAAGGGATCAGATCAAATCCAAGTGGTATATCCTGACTTGCATTTTAAAAACATTACTGTTTGGTTACTTACCCTGTAAACATCTTGTGAACAGAGACCACATATTTACTTTTTAGCACTGCTCATATATATATACTGATAACCTCTACTACTCAGTCATAGTGAAATATTGGTCCACCCTCACCTTCTATGGCTAATCCCTTACTCAAACTCCGAAGACATGGGCCTTCTCTTACGCCTTAAGTTTATTCCTGTCTTAAGACTTTTGCACCTGCTATTCTCTTTACTTAGAATAGTATGTTCACACGTGGTTGGCTCCTTGTCATTTAGATATTACGAACTATAATTCATAAGTAGTCAGCATGTTCATGGGGGAACAGACCAGCACGGATAAATAAAGCTCATCTATTTCACTTTAGCCATTCCCCATCAAACTTCTCCACAAGAGTTTTAAAAAGAAAAGTGGGCTTTATTCCACCTTTGTCTCTTACTACAACCAGAAGCATGTAATTTTAAGCAGTAAAGCGGCGAAAACTCAGAGCAGCAGGAAAGGTTTAAAGAAGTCTGCTTAAATGTTAAATCCTTCAATACACAAATTTGGCTCATTCAAGTTCCACTTTTCTCCACCAGGAACCTGAGAACAGAGAGCCGCAGCTGGAAGAGGGGAGACGAAAACATTTCCCAACATAACTAACTTTCCCACTTACCACTAGAGAAAGTTATTAGGAAAAGGACTTGAAAACAAGTTTTCTGCTGCCCAGTACCAAAGCGCTTTATCTGCATAAAGTAACCCGGAGAAAGGCAACAGGTAAAGAACGAAATTGGAACGCCAGTCTCCCACCAGCTTTACTCGGTGGAAGCCAAAGCCAGACCCAAGGCTGGCGGACTCCCTACTAACTTGTCTCACCTCTCTGTAAGTCCAATTTGGTTTCACGGACGTAGTTGTCCGGGTTCCGGCTTAGCATCTTCACCTTCATCTTGGCGCTAGCCTTCCCCGACTCCACGAGCCTTTCCCTCCAGGTACTGGTCACCGCGGCCTCCTCAGCTTCCGCTTCTTCCAGACTACTTCCGCTTCTTTGAGACCACTTCCTGTCATGTGACTTCAATGGATTGGAAACCAGGGGGTTTGTTTGGGCCCTGCGGCGCTCCGTAGTTCCCCGGACAAAGGTTGGCCGGGGGCGGTGATTCAGCTGTGCTCTCGTATCCACGCCCTTCGTCCTTAGCCAGCCGCAGAGGTGGGCGAGGCGAGGCGAGGCGGGCCGGGACGGGGCGGGACCTTGGAGGTGGGGCCCGGCACCCTTCGCTTTCTCTGCTGGCGCGGCGTGCAGCGTCCCTTTCACGTCTTGTCTGCACCAGGGTCTAGCCTTCGTTCCCGTGGCCCCCGCAGCTGAGTCCACGCGCGAGTCCCGGAAGTGGGCGACCGTCGCCACGGTGGCGGCAACTGCATCTCGTCCCACCTCCGCGGCATCAGCCGGCCCTGAGCTTATGACGGGCCAGGGCCAGCCGGCGTCCGGGTCGTCGGCGTGGACCACGATATTCCGCCACGTCCGGTACGAGAATCTGGTGGCGGGCGTGAGCGGCGGGGTCCTTTCCAACCTCGCGTTGCACCCGCTCGACCTCGTGAAGATCCGCTTCGCCGGTAAGAAGCCATTCAGATCCCTGGGCTTCTCGTAGTTGTCCCCCCGAACTGAGTGATAAAAATGTACAAGGAGGCCTTGATTTTCTCTGCCTCTTCCATACTATAGGCGAGGTGGGCGTTGAGGAAGATGCTGTCTGTCCGGGCTCACCTGGGGCCAGATTTGAGGAAGGCAAGTCTGGTGAAGGGGTCTGGCCGCCGTTGTCCTCTTTCCCCAATACTAAGTCAGGGAACATGGGTGAAAAATCTGACAAAAATCCTCATTGGGGTAGAATGTGGGACTCAAAGCTTGGGTTATACAATAAGAAAGGGGTCATCACGTCTTAAGGTTTAACCCTAACGTGCAAATCATTTAGCCCTGGAGGTACAGGTATCCCCCGCTTTTCGAAAGTTCGCTTTACACCACTTCGCTTTTACGAAAGACTTATATCAGTACCTGTTTTCCGCTAACCCCCAAATCCGAAAGAAATCCGAAGAGGGTTTTCGCTATTACGGAAAAAAAAAGGCGAAAATAGCTTCAGCATTTGTTTTGCAGCAAGCCCTTGTAGAGACAGCATGTACCACCAGCAGCGAGAGTGGCAACACCAGCTCCTTTCCTGAGAACTACACACAGCATCTCAGCATCAAGCCGCCATAGCTTTGAACTGTGTCTGTGAGCATCTGTGCTTTATCTGGATTTATTTTGTGCATCCGTTAGCAAGGTGCGTGCTAAGGTAATTGCTTCTTCGCTTTATGCAGTTTTGGCTTACTAAAGCTTTCATGCTTTACTTTCGGATAGCGGTGGAAACCTGTACTTTGAAATCTTAGGGTAGCCACTTGTTTGGTCTTAGGGCTGAGAGGAGAATGCAAGTGCTTGGAGTAGGGCATAATCCTCGGCAGATGGTTAGGAATGAGGTTGGGATGGAATTCTTTTGAAAATTTGCTTTTGGCATTTACAGTGTGGCACAAGGTCCGGTGAAGGAATAGGTAACTGGAATCCAAACTATTGTTTTTAATTTAGCTTTATTGAGTTAAGTGCGTTGAGTTATGTGAATTAAGTGTATTGAAATTATAAAGTACTTTAGAAGATAAACTCTACGTTAAATTCTGGATAAGATAGCTTCAAAGGTCTTTGGTAACTTAATTTGGAAACTTTTCTTGGATTTCAGTTCTCTTATTTCTACAAGTTCTGCCTTGACAATTAGATCTGCAGAAGTGGCTTATCTTGAGTTACATTATTCTATTTACCTAGGATATTTTCTTTTAACATTTGTAGGCTGCTGTGTGGGATTCAGAAGCACCTGAATGAAGTTTTTGCTCTCAGGGAATTTAATAGTTTAATTGTAGGCTTGAGACTTAGTCAAATTAAAAGTAATTGTAGACAACATTAAAATTAAGGACCAAATGGAATAAATCCAAATAGCAAAATGTGAGTAGAAGTAGACTGTTAAGAAAATTATAGGTTGGTGATGGCCATATATATCTGTATGTGTAAAGTTTCATTACATCTTGAGATTCTCCAAAGAAGGTCTAAAATTTTGACAGGTCGAGAGGAGGCAAGAAACTATCGAAAATCAGTGAACATTGTGGAGTGTTCTCCCTAGAAGAAAACCCACAAAGGCGTATAATTTCCGTGGAGTTTATAATGCATGCACAAATAATTATGACAACGAAGAACATTCATTGAGCGTTTATTAGGCGCAAGGCAGTGAACTGAGAACTTAACTTACATTATATCATTTACTGCTCTGAACAACCCTGTGAGTTTACTTTCCCCGTTATATAGGTGAGGTTAATCGAAGTTGACAAACTTGCCCAAGTTACAAGTTTTCAAAGATAGATCTGGGATTTGAATCCAGGCAGTCTAACTGAAGTACCCTCTGGCACTTAACCACTCACCCCAGTACCTCGAGAAATTCCTGGTGTACTGTGGCTTGAATGTGAAAAGAATTTTGGGCTGCAGGTGCAGGCCTGTATGACTTGGTACTTCTCTTCTGCAGCATTTTATGTAGGAGCCAAAGAGGTGACAGTTGAAATGATCAGTGAGGAATAGTGTGGTTGGTCCAGTGAGTTTGACTGTGCCTGAGGAGAGGGAATTCTTTGGACCTGTGAATACTGGTAATATTGATGAAACAGAGAGACTATTGGGAGACCAGTAGGGCTGAAGTGATGGATAAGGTGACCGACATAGGATAAGAGGACAAAATTAAAGATCTAGTAGTTGAAGGCAGGACTTTGTAATAACAAAGCCCACAGTGTGGCTGGGAAATGGCGGTGGAAAAGAAGAAAATTTAGGAAGATGAATAACTGAAATCAAAATAGTCGATTGACCACCACCATTAATGCTGTAGTTTTTTTTAACTGTTTTTTATTGAGTTATAGTCATTTTACAATGTTGTGTCAAATTCCAGTGTAGAGCACAATTTTTAAGTTATACAGTAACATATTCATTGTCATGTTTTTTTTTCGCTGTGAGCTACCACACTAATGCTGTAGTTTTTATGCTTTTATAAAATTAAGCCCTTATAATAAAATTATAATAACCTAGTGATGGAGGTATTAGTCTTGACCATTAAGCCAAACCTGGAATATTTCAATGAGTTCAGGTGCAAATTGGAACTCAGAGGTGTCCAGAGTAGTAGAAGGATTAGAAATCATTTCATGTGAGAAATGACTGGAGGAACTAGTTTACTTTAGTGGGTGGGAAGCACTTATGGTATTTAAAGAACTGCAGTGTGAGAAAGGGAGCTGCCTCATTGTGGGTGATCTGAAGGGCAGAAAGAGATTGAGGGATTGTGGAAATTACAGGGAGGCAGATTTTGGCCTGGCAAAGTGGTGGCACTCAAATGAAACTGGCGATGACTGGCAGGGGTTCAACAGTTTGATGATATAGAAGATATTCTTGTATTGGGTGGAACCATCAAGTGAGGTGATCATTGAGGCCCCTTCTAACTTAAAGGTAGTATTTTAAATCATCGAGAATGATGAGAGGGAGGCCCAGCAAAGAAGAATGTGAGTTGGGTGTAAAAATAGTAATTTTCTAAAATAACCTGAAATCCTAATAATCTGTAAGTTGATCAAGGAACCAAAAGGTAGAGCCCAGTGACAAGAATTGCATTGTCAAGTTTTGTATGTATATGGTATTGCAAGACCCAATAGCATAAATAAACTGATACTAAGTGCATGCTATGTGCTAGGCATGCTTTTAAGAGCTGTATCTGTATTAACTCACTTAATTCTGTGTAATTTTTAGAGGTAGGTTCTGTTGTTCTTCCCATTTTGTGGATGAGAAAACTCAGGCACAGAAAAATCTAGTAACTTACTCAGGGTCACACAGTAAATGTTGGAATAAGGAATTCAAACCCAGGAAGTCTGATTCCATGGCATATGCTGTTAGTTTGAAACCATAATTGGGTACTTTGGTACAGCTAAAGGGTAAAATGTTAGAGGTTGAAATGAAATGAAAATGATTCCAGAAAATTAAGCTTGCAGACTGACACCTCTTTTATACTGTGTAAAAATGGAAGCCAGACCTGGATATTAGGAATGAGATCAGGGCTAGAGATGTAAAAACCATAGCACAGCGATGGAAACTGAAGCTACTCAGTGACTGAGAGAACTACCCTTGTTGAGTGGAAAGACTGCCTAAAGATCAGCATTTAAAGGATGGGCAGAAGAGAAGGAGGCTGCAAAGGAAATTTAGTGACCAAAGAAGTAAGAGGAAAATCAAGAGACTGGAGTGAAACTAGCCCAAAGACGTGTGTTTTAGGAGGTGAACAAGTGAGGTGCTGCTCATGGGTTAGAAGAGGGGAATCTCAGAGTGCACGTGGAGGTCTTTAACTAAAGCACCTGCAGGGACAGGTGGAGACCCAAGCCAGCTTGCAGTGGATTGGGAAGCAGTGGGGGTGAGAAAGCCCCTGCTGAGATTGTAGTTAACTCTTCCAGAAGCTTAACTGACAGGGAGGCACAGGGATCAGAGAGAGACACTCAGGAGACACTTGAGTGTTTATATTTTGATGGAAAAGAAGTAAAGGCAAGGAAGAGAGAGGAGATGGAGACAGAAAGATAATGAGAGAGGTTTCCAAGCAGTTCTGAGAGAGCAGAATCTAGAGCTGTCTCTCTCAAACTTTTTTGACCACAACCCTCAGTAGGAAATAAATTTTATCTTTGCCATCTGGTGCAAGCATGCACCTACACATATTACTGAAACAAGTTTCTTACAGCAATACTTATCATTACTACCTGTGACGTCATTTATGTTTTCTTCTATTCCAATCTGTTGTTGGGTTTTTGTTTTGTTTTTTTTTTTAATGATGTGTTCAGTCAATTTCTTGAGTCATCTGTAGGTTTAGAAATGCTGGCATAGAGTACAGGTAGAGGAGACTGGTTTTATAAAGAAGGACGAACTCTTCAGTGCGACATGGGACAGGACGGGTAAACTAATACCAAACCAATTA